ATCTGCTGGAGGGCGTGACCCGGGCCTTGGGGCTCGGGTCAGTATCAATCTCTGCCTCTCAATCCCAAAAGACGAGACCAAAGTGGGTCAAAGTAGAAGTCAACGCGCCTGACGAATGGGCCTCTTGATGGAAGATCAGGGGTGGGAGGCGGAGGTCGGGAGGAAGGTCAGCTCCAGGGGGAGGGACCCTTCAGAGCTGTGACAGCTGTGGGAGGCTCTGATGAACTTGGAGTGGGTTTTGGGGTAGAGGGTGAGGATGACTTGACCTAACTCACCCTCCACTATGGCGCTGTGGGGAAGGGGGACCCAGGGAAGCTGATGGGGGTCAACGAGGTGCCCTCCCCCATTAAATGTAGCTCCTGGGGATGGTTCTCTCTGGGGTGGAGAAACTGCGCTGGCCTCACTGGTCTTCTTCCTTCTGGGAATGGAGACAATTGAGTCACCACTATGGGGTCAAGGGCTTGTATTCGCATGGGGTGTCAACTGGGTCTGCGGTCCCACTGCCCCTAGAGGGCCTTAGGTGCTCTCCAACTTCTCACAGGCCGCGCCCACTTCCCTGGGGCTCACTTGCCAGATGCATGAAGGCTGACCTCGTGTTCATGCCAGGGGACAGTGACTGGGGGTGGGAGGAGCCTGGCGCTTTCCCTCCCTGGGTGAAAATTTCCACGCGGCAGGTCCGTGGCTGTGGGTGGCCGTGGGCGGAGCGGCCGGGGGCGCGGCGCTGCTGGCGGCTGGGGCGGGCCTGGCCTTCTACGTGCAGTCCACCGCCTGCAAGAAGGGCGAGTACAACGTCCAGGAGGCCGAGAGCTCAGGAGAGGCCGTGTGCCTCAACGGCGCGGGCGGGGGCGCCGGCGGGAGCGCGGAAGGTGGACCCGAGACTGGGGGCTCCGCGGAGTCGCCGGCGGGGGGCGAGGTCTTCTCCATCCAGCTGACTTCCGCGTGACCTGCTCCCCTCTCCCCGCGGGCCGGGGGCCGCCCCCCAGGCGCACACGGGGGCTTATTTATTGTTCTATTTATTTATTCATTTATTTATTTATTCAACTCCAGGGGTATCACCCCGATTTTCTACCCATCTCCCCCAATAAAGTTTTTATAAAGGACTCTCGGTCTCGGCTTCTGTGGATGCAAAGTGAGACAATGTGGTCGAATCAGGATTGCGACGATTATTCCTCCAAAAGACTTTTTTTTGAGAGCCTACTATGTGTCAGGCGTCAGGCTCGTGACAAGCCGCGGGTAAGCAGTGTGATCTGGATTTACCTCCCTGTACCCTGTTTCCTGCCATCACAGGACCCTTGGGCAGGGGTGGGGACCAGCTCCTTCCTCCTCCTCCCTGTTGCTTATCTCTTCCGCCCAGCGCGGACCTCCCATCTGCCCCCTGACCCAGCTAGATCCTGAAGGTGGGAGATCAGGTGCTTTCCCCAGGTCTGTTTACCGGCAGAGCCACGCCGCCTTGCCGGGAGAGGCCAAGCAGTCCTTCCCAAGTGGTGGGATGGGTGGAGGGAGGAGCAGTGGCTGCAGTTGTGGATGTCAGCCCTCAGGATATCCCTCCTGTTAAAGGACCACTGCTGCCCCCTCCCCAAAGCTTCCTCCAGCCAGTGTCCACCCACACTGCCTCAGTTTACCCCAACCTGCTTTTTCACTTGACCCATCATGATTCAGAGCTAACACAGGGGATCAGCAGCAACCCCCACGCACATCACCATCCCTCCAATGGCATAAGGAGAGAACAGCTGGGCCTCCCCCTCTCTCCCTCCTCCCTCAAAAACAGGAACACAGAGCTCTGGAGAAGGAAGTCCGCCTGGGCAGCTCCAAGCTTCATTGGCTGCCCCCATGCGAACATTTAATGAGCAAAGATGAGAACAGGAAGGAGGGCATGAGAGGGCAAACTGGTTCTGGGTGTTAAGTGCCAGGGACAAAAAGCAACAAAGCACAGGCAAGTTAGAGTCCCTGCTGGGCTCCCCCTCAAGTCTCTACCACTCCCCCTGGCCTCCTCCAGTTCCCCTGAAGCCCACAAAATCTTGCCTGCCTGTCCTGTCCTTTGGTTTGGTTTTGTTGATAGTGAGGGTTGAACCCTGGGGTGCTCTACCGCTAAGCTACACCCCCAGCCCTTTTTATTTCATTTTGAGATAGGGTCTCACTAAGATGAGGCCGGCCTCAATCTCCCTCCAGAGTACCTGGTATTACAGGTGTGCACTACCATACCCAGCCCACGCTGTTCCTTCTGACAGGGGAGTCCTCACCTCCAGGTCCCTTTGCTAGTTCCCCCTTTTTTTTTTTTAAGTATTTGTTTTTTATTTGTAGTTGGACACAGTACCTTTATTTTGTTTGTTTATTTTTATGTGGTGCTGAGAATCGAACCCAGGGCCTTGCACGTGCTAGGCAAGCTCACTACCACTGAGCCACAACCCCAGCCCTAGTTCACTATCTTGAGGTCTCTATGCCATGTCAATCCCTGAGGGGACCTTCCCTGAGCCCCATGGATAAAGTAGCCCCTCAATTCTTTTTGTGGGGGGGTACCTGGGGATTGAACTCAGGGGCACTCAACCACTGAGCCACATCCCCAGCCCTGTTTTGAATCTTATTTAAGACACAGGGTCTCACTGAGTTGCTTAGTGCCTTTCTTTTGCTGAGGCTGGTTTTGTACTCATGATCCTCCTGCCTCAGTCTCTCCAGTCGCTGGGATTACAGATGTGTGCCACCGCATCTGGCTCAATTCCTCTTACACATTTTTCTGTAGCCCAGATCACTACTTAAGATTCTATTTGGGGGCTGAGATTGTGGCTCAGTGGTAGAGCGCTCTCCAAGCATGTGCGAGGCCCTGGGTTCGATCCTCAGCACCACATAAAGATAAAAAATAAAGATATTGTGTCCAATTACAACTAAAAAAAAAAGATTCTATTTGACATTTTATTGAAATTGTATTTATTTTTAAGAAATGGGGTCTCTCTGTGTTTCCTAGACTGAATTCACCTCCTGGGCTCAAGTGAGTCTCCTCCCTCAGCCTCCTGAGTAGCTGGGCCTTCAGGTGTACACCACTGCTCCAGCTAACTGAATATTGCTCTCTCAGCCTAGAATATTGGCCCCAGAAGATCATTGATCTTTTCATTTTTAAATTTTTTTTAATAATTTTATTTATTTATTTGTGGTGCTGAGGATCGAAACCAGGACCTTGCAGGTGCGAGGCAAATATTCTACCACTGAGCCATAACCCCAGCCCCTAAATTTTTTTTTTTTTTTTTTCAGTACTGGGGATTGAATCCAGGAACACTATCACTGAGCTATACCCCTAGCTATTTTTATTTTTAGATAGGCTCTAAGTTCTGGAGGCTAACCTTGAACTTGCCATCCTCTGGCCTTGGCCTCCTGAGTCACTGGGATTACAGGATGTACCATAGTACTGTACTTTGTTCTTTTTTTTTTAATATATTTTTTTAAAATTTAGTTGTAGTTGGATACAACACCTTTAATTCACTTATTTTTATGTGGTGCTGAGGCTTGAACCCAGGGTCCTGCACGTGGGAAATGAGTGCTCAACCACTGAGCCACAACCCCAGCCCTGTACTTTGTTCTTTCTACTCACCAAGTATCCCCACTGGGGCACACAATAGATGCTCAATAAATGGGTAAAAACAGTTGTGAATCTGCAGACAAAGACCTTGATGAGTTCAATGTGTAACCTCAAGTTTTTCCATGCTGGGCACTGGGGAGGCCTCTTGTGGTCAAGCACACAGATGTGGCCACCCTGGACCCAAGTCATGGTCTAGTGGGAGAGAGATGAATGTGATTAAATACTTTTGGGCCAGATAGAGAAATGAAACTTCTGGCAGGTTCTAAGAGGAATACCGGCAAGGAGCTGAACCTGAGACTGATGTGGGCTGAGTGGGTGTGGAGTTCTGTTTTAGAGTCGGTGGTTTAGGAAGGCTTCCCTGAAGGGATGATATTAAGTTTTTCCAAATGACAAGAAGGTAGCAGCCCTGGGGAGGGAAGATGTTTCAGGCTGAGGAAAGGTTAGCAATGATCTGAGGGCTCAGAATATGGGCCCCGGGGCTTTTCCTACAGCTGTACTCAGGTGAGACTAGGAGGGTCTCGCAGGTTTGTACTCTCTCACCTCCTGCAGTAGGCAGCAGACACAACCTTGATGCAACTCACCTTTATTTATTTATTTATTTATTTTTGCAGTGCTGAGGATGGAAGCCAGGGCTTGCCGGCTAAGTTCTCCCTCTCAATAAGCTCTGGTGACTTGTGCATCCCAGCTGCCCAGGGCTGGTTCCCCTGGTCAATTTTTGGCTTTGGGTTGGGGGGCATCTCTTGAAGGGGGGGGGGACACAGGGTTGGTATGCTCAAGGATGCAGGGAGGGTGACAGTCTGAAAGCAGGGGTGAGGCTAGCAGATGAAGGGCCCACCTGTGTCTCTGTCGACATGCATCTGTCCCCTGTGCGATGACACACAGGTGTCTGTCACTGGCTGTGTCTATTGATTGGTGTGGTCAGTCTGTATCTGTGTGTCTTTCACATGTGGGTGTCAGCACATGCATTTGTCTTGTACATCTATGTGTGTCGTTTGTGTGGTGACTGTTTCCCTATATAGGACACTGTGCTGAGTGAATGTGGTTAATTCTTATGTTGGTCTGTATATATATATATATATCTCTGTGTGTGTGTGTGTGTGTGTGTGTGTGTGTGTGTGTGTTCCTCACAACCCCAATGAAACACCTGCCCCCATCTTCCCAGGATGGGGAGAAGTGAAGGAAAGTACCCAGAATGGGATTCCGAAATCACACTGCTCTGAGTAGCTCAGGCTTTCTCAAAGTATTAACAGCAATAACAATAGTCACAGCTGAAACAGTTTCCTTTATTTGGAGTCCAATCAAGCCCGACTGGAGAAGGGGCTGAACCAGGGGGGGTGACCTCATGAAACAGGGAATCTGGGGACTGAGCCTGGATACTCTTCCTGGGAGAGACAGGAGACAGGCTTGACTTTCCTTACTCCTAGGAGTTCTGCCCATTCTTCCCCTAGGAAAACTGAGGCAGAACCAGGTCACTTGAGTGAAGAAGGGCTTACATTTCCTGAGTTGGGTCTTGGTGGGGGTCCATGGACAACCCACATCTGCCACACAGCTTCTTGGGCTGGACACTTTTCCTGGGCACCAGCCAGCAACTGGAACAACGGGTACCATATTTCTTGTACCTGGGTTGGAGATACAAGAAATTATCATTTAAGATGCAGCAGGGGGGCTGGGCATGTAGCTCAGCAGTGGAGAAAGGCCCTGGGTTTGATCCTCAGCACCACATAAAAATAAATAAATAAGATAAAGGAATTGCGTCCATCTACAACTAAAAACAAAAGATACAGCAGGGACCCAGAAACTATCATGAGGAAGCCATTCTCCTCAAGAGTACCTCTTCTTCCCAGATCCCCCCACACTAATGGGGGGCCCGACCCCAACTCCCCCCTCCATGCTGAGGACCTGATACCACAGGCATTGCAGAGAGGGGTCCCATCTTCAGCATCTCTCCAGAGAGGGGTCCTCTGGGTCCTACAGGAGGCACAGCATCGTGGAGCTGGAGGGTCAGAGGTCAAAGGGCAAAGATCAGAGTCAAGAATCTGAATTCAAGAGACCTGTGGAGGTAGGGCATTGTGTGTGGGGGTCCCTGTGACGGCCCCACCTGGCTCTGGGCCAGCCTTGGGTGTTGTTAAAGACAGAGGGAGAGCCAGGAAGAGGGACAGATGGTGCAGCTCAGCAGGGGAGGAAGCTGGGGGTGGGGTGACTCAGCCTGAAGGGAGGGGTGCACTCCAACTCCTCCTGGGCAGGTCTAAATGGGGAAGCCGGAGGGGGAGGGGCAGGGAGACAGAGGCAGGGAGGACAGGGAGGACAGGAAGTTGGCCCCCCCCAAATATTTATAGCTCTTACATCTTCAGGACTCACCCTGGGCCTCGCTGCCTCCAGGGCTGGGCTCAGGGCTGGCAGGGCTTGCGGGTGGTCCCTGAGAGTGGCTGCTGCGGGGCAGATGAGGCATTAGCATTGGGGATCAGCGTCCTGTCCCCTGAACACTCATTATCAAGGTATGGGGGCAGCCCTAGGAGACAGGGTGGTGTGCTGGGATACAGGCTCAAGTGCCAGTTCTCCCCCTTGCCTGCTTTGTGGCCCTGGACTAGCTACATCCTCACCCTCGAGGCTTCAGTTTTCTAATCTGTACAATGGGCATCATGAGCCCGTGTACATCCAGTGCTGCCTGTTGTCAGGGCCGTAGTGATGTCTGTAACCCTAGCAACTCAAGAGGCTGAGGCAGGATGGCAAGTTCAAAGCCAGCCTGGGCAAGTTAGCAAGACTCTGTCTCCAATTTTAAAAAAAGAAAAAGAAAGGACTGAGGATGCGGCTCAGTGGAAAAGTGCCCTGGGCTCAATTCCTAATACATAAACATAAAACATAGACGTGTTGCCAGTAACCATTTTTTTTTTTTTTGTGGGGTGGGGCGGAGTACTGGGGATTGAACCCAGGAGCACTTAACCACTGAGCCACATCCCCCCCTTTTTTATTTTTTTGCAACAGGGTCTTGCTAAGTTGCTTAGAGCCTCACTTTTGGGGAAAGTATACAGCTGCCCTCAGTATGGACCAGCCTGTTTGACAGAGGGGACCAAGTCTCAGTGGAGACAGAGGCAGGGCTGGACATGGCACTGGCCTGAGGTCTTAATCAGACTGAGCCGTCTCACATGTGGAAGGACTGACTGCAGGGCATCTGTCTCCCAATACTTTCCTTTCTTCTTCTGGTGGTGTGCTGGGAGTTGAACCTAGGGCCTTGCAAATGCTAGGCAATCACCATACGCTGAGCCACATTCCAGTCCCCATCAATGTCCTGGTCCTTTCTTGGATGTGCACGTCAGCCCTCCCTATCCAGGGATTCTGTATCCAAGACCACAACCAACTGTAGGAGGCCCTGGAGGCCCATCCCTAGCATCGTAAAAATAACAACAAAAATCTGGTCAGGTGTGGTGGCGCACCTTGTAATGCCAGAGGCTTGGGAGGCTGAGGCAGGAGGACTGCAAGTTCAAAGCCAACCTCAGCAACTTAAGAGGCTCTAAGCAACTCAGTGAGACACTGTCTGGAAATGAAACATTAATAAGGGCTGGGGATGTGGCTCAGTTGTTAAGCGCTCTGGGGTTCAATCCTGATACAAAAAAAAAGAAAAAGAAAAAAAAAAGTAAGAAAAGAAACAAACCAACCAAACAAAAAAACTCTGTGGATTGTAAATATTTGGAGAGAAGGGAACAGGTATGAAGAATAGTAGAATGAACTGGACATTCCGACCCTATGTGCATGTATGTGTACAACTAGAGGAATGAGCAGTCATATTCCATCTATGCCTGATGTGGCAGGATGCATTCTACTGTTATGTATACATAATTAGGAAAAAAAAAAAGTGTGGGGGGCGATACCAGGGAATGAACTCAGGAGCTCTCCACCACTGAGCCACATCCCTAGGCCTATTTTGTATTTTATTAGAACAGGGTCTCACTGAGTTGCTTAGTGCCTCACTGAGGCTGGCTTTGAACTCATGATCCTGCTGACTCAGCCTCCCGAGCCGCTGGGATTATAGGCGCGCACCACCACGCCCAGTTTAGAACAAATTTTTAAGAAAGGAAATATTTAGGGAAAAAAATCCACATGTACTAAACACATACAGACTTTTCATTTCCTAAATGATACAGTTTAACTATTTACATACTGCATGTATATACACTGCATGAAATATTTTAAGGGGTCTAGAAGTGACTTAAAGTACACCGGAAGCTGGGTTCAGTGGCCCATGCCTGTAATCCCCGATACTCTGAAACTCTGAAGCTGAAGCAGGAGGATCACAAGTTTGAGGTCAGCCTGGGCAACTTAGGGAGACCCTGTCTCAAAAATAAGGGTGTAGCTCAATGGTAGAGCACCCCTGGGCTAAATCATCAATACCACAATAAATATAAATAAAAAGGGCTGAGAGTGTAGCTAAGTGGCAGATTGCCCTGGTTTCAACCCATCATATCACAAAAATAAATAAAGCAAAGTATACGGTTTGTACATGGGCTCTATGCAAATAGCATGGCATTCTCTATAACATTTGGGTAACTGGAGGGAGGTGGGGTCCTAGAACCAGCTGCTGTGGATATTGTAAAGGTCACCCTGTCCCAGCTGGGCCCTACCTGTAGGTGGGCAAGATCTGCAGGCTGCAGTCCGGCTTTAACTCAAAAGTCAGAGTCACTCCTTGGAACGTGGGGTCCCCTTTCTCAGTGCCCCGGCAGGGGTGCGGCTGTTTGCGTGGTCTTCTCTGGGATGGGGCTGGAGGACCCTCAGGGGGCACCATGCTGCAGCGCTTCTGGCTGACTGGGGTCTGCATGTTCTTGGAATTCCTGGCCATAGTTAAGGGGTCCAAAGTCCCCAGGGTCATTGGTCCCCAGCAGGGTCCCAGGGCCAGGGGGTCCTGAGTTGGGGGCAGGGCCAGCCCCTCTTCTGTCTCTTGAAGGAAGCCCAGGGCAGTGATGGAGTCCTGGCATCCAGGCCAGAGGGACCTGTGGACAAGAGGCCAGGTGATTACCTCCATCCCTGGGTGGTTCTTGGGTCCAGAAGGCCTGGGGGGTGCTCACTGGAGCCTATTCCTTGCTAACTGTGCCTTTGAGCAGGTCACACACCCAGCCTGGGCTGTGGAATCCCTTCTAGGTTGTTTCAGGTTTAAAAGTTACAAAGCAATTGCAAACAAGGCTCAAGGTAAGCATGCCAGGTGATGTTCTCAGCCCTTATTAACCATTTAATCCACCCAGGAGCCCAGGAAGCAGGGACTTACTCTTGGTGACCAGGCCAGGGCTTCTGACTTCTGAGTAGAAGACCCGCTGACTTTATATGATTTCTGTCTGTATCACTGATACGCTGGCCTACATAACCCCTGGATGACCCTCGGTGGTGCTCACATGGGCCATGGGGATTCAGGGAGGTGTGAAATTGTATGGCCTCAGAGCCTAGATCATCTCAAGTGTCTGGAGACCAGAAGCTCTTTTTGGAAGTACCAGTAACTAACTTGGTGACCTCTGGATAACCTCAAGAACCAGAGGCCATGACCCCCTGCCACCAGGCTAGGTGAAATGTCGGCAGGGTGGGGTCAGACGCCGCCTTACGCACCTGCCACTGAGCCTGAAGCATCCGGGAGGCCTCGGCTTCTGCTGGGCGGAGGGTCTTGGCGGCTCCACGTCCAGACAGCGAGACGCCAGGAGCTCTCCCAGCAGCATCAGGTCGGGGTCTTGGCAGTCACACCCCAGCCCCGCCCCACCACTAAGGGGTGGAAAGCCCAACGGCTGCTGCCCGAGGGTGCAATGAGCCCCAGCTGGGTGGGGCGGGCCGCTGGGGTCTCCTCAGCGCTGCCTCCCCTTCCTGGCTTTACTCAGGTCACCTGCACACCCCTCAGGGCCAAGGGCAGCCTCTAACCCTCCAAATCCCTCCGCAGCTGCAGGGGCGGAGCCTCACCGCCGGGGTAACCTGCCTAGGAAGAAGGGGACCCCGAGGCTCTGCCTCAGATCTCCAGCGGTCATCTCTTGCTGCCGGGACAGGAGAGCTGGGGTTCCAGCAGATGCAGAATGTGGGGTCCCCCAAGGATACTCGACATGCTGGAAATCTATGAGACAGTTTTATTGCAGCTCCAATTTGAGTCCACCCCTGCTCACGCTCCCATTCTTAGGGGCTGGGGGATGGCACCCCAAGTAGGGGCCCTGTCCCCTCCAGACTCTGGACACAGTGATCTCTCCAAGCACGGTCTCTGGCCTTCACCGTGCTTCTGACATCTCTCTCCAGCCTGTTCGCACTCCGGGCTGGGCTGGGCTGGCGGCTCGACTATTCCTTCAAGTCCTGGCCCTGGGGCCATGGTGGTGTGGGGGACAGTCCTGCTGCCCATGTCAGTGGGGCTTGGGGACATGTCCATCCACATAGAAGTTCCTGGTGATCTTGGGCAGGGTGAATTCAGCCCCTTCCAGCTCAGGGGTCAGCACGATCTGGCAGCCCAGGCGCGAGTTCTCCTGGAGGAGGGGGGCCATATCCAGCATGTCGTCCTCCCTGGGCAATGAGCGCAGCGTTAGCCGTCCACATGCTGGCCCAGCTGCTGGGGAGACTGGCAGCCCTGGGGTAGGCAGGCTGACCAAGTCCACTTGGGAATGGGCAGAGGGGAGGCTCCCCTTCCAGCAGCTGGAGGCGGGAGAACTGGGGCTGCCCTCCCTGGTGGCCCCTATGGACATGGGGACCTGGAGGCTCAGCAGCTGAGCCCTGCCACTCAGAGCCTGGGGGTCTGCCCTGCTCACCTCTCCTCAGGGGGAGGCAGAAGATCCAGGTGGGCCTCACTCACATACACATGGCAGGTGGAGCAAGCCAGAGAGGCTTCACAGGCTCCTGGGGGCAGGAAGTGAAGGGAACGTTGGTGAGGGGCAGGCGCCATTCCACAAAGGGTGCCAAGGAGAAGCTCTTTGTTTCACTGCAGGCCTCAGCACTCCCTCCAGGTCACATATGTCAGGTCACCTGCACAGTTCCTTGTTCTGGAGCTGCCTGCAGGCTTTATGAGGGCATGTCCAGAGTGTCTTAATTCCCAAGGACTCTCCAGCAGACGGAGGACCTGGCTGGGTGTGTGGAACCAATAATAAGCATGGAGTGACTTCAGCAAAGCTGAGAGGGGAACGGCCAGCAGATTCCCTGCAGCCTGTGAGCCCGTGCTGTGACCCTGTGCTAGGCCAGTGTGCCCCTGCCTCCTTGCTGCTCCCAGAGGACACCCTGGCTGACTCCGGAGGGAGAAGGGAGAATAGGTCAGGAGTAAGGATTAAAAGAGGCAGAACCTAGGGTTTTTCTACTCATCACTTGTTGTTGGACACACTTCTGAACCCTCTGATCAGTCACCAAGAACTATGCTTGGTGTCTTTCTTGGCCTAAAACTTTTCAAATGGTTTCATATCCAGAAAAAATCTAGACTCCTCTACTGAGTCCTTGAGATTCCTTCTCCCCTCATTCATTCCACTTCATTCACATTGACCCTCTTGATGCCACTCTAATAGCCAAACTCCAATACCCCAGTTCATCCCCACCTCAGGATCTTTGCACTTGCTGTATCCATGACTTGGAATGCTCTTCTCTCCACTTTTTCCATTCTTGTCTCTGGGGGTTCAACTCAACTATTCTCTGAGTCCCCCAACTCCTATTTCTTGTCCCTGTCCCCCTTTTAATTTTGTGTCCCGTTTACACCACAAATAACTTTTCTTTCTTTTGGAAATGGGATTTTGCTATGTTGCCCAGGCTGGTCTCTAGCTCCTAATCTCAAGTGATCTCCTCCTTGGCCTCCCAAATAGCTGGGATAATAAGCAAGCATCACTGAGCCTGGCTCATCTGCAACCAGAGTGTCTTAATTCAACCACCTTAATCTCTGGGTTTACCTGATCCCAGTCAATCTGCCTTCCCTCTCTCTGTGCCAAGTACAAAGTATTACTAAATATTGTTTCATCCTAACAGCAATCCAGTGAGATGACAACTAAATCATCTCATTTTATAGATGAGGAAACAGCTAAGTAACTTGCTCAGGGACATAGCTGTTAAAAGGCAAGATTTGAATACAGGATACTTGCCTCGAAAATTCATGTTCCAAACTCAGTTCTGGACTTCTGGCTATTGCATTCTAATACATAACTGCTTCCATGAGTGAGGGGAAAGGGAAAAATAATACAAGGGGGAGAAATGAATTACAGTAGAGGGGGTAGAGAGAGAAGAGGGGAGGGGAGGGGAGGGGAGGGGGGATAGTAGAGGATAGGAAAGGCAGCAGAATACAACAGTCACTAGTATGGCAATATGTAAATCAATGGAAGTGTAACTGATGTGATTCTGCAATCTGTATACGGGGTAAAAATGGGAGTTCATAACCCACTTGAATCAAAGTGTGAAATATGATATATCAAGAACTATGTAATTAGTTTTGAACAACTAACAATAAAAAAAAAAACAAAAAAAAAAACCAAAAAACTGCTTCCATGGTAGGAAGGCCTGCTATGGCCTTCCAATATCCCAACGGCCCCTTTAATGATTGGATTAGACTTTTAAAAAATTTTTAAAATACATTTTTTAGTTGTAGATGGACACAATACTTTTATTTTATTTATTTATGTGGTGCTAAGGTTTGAACCCAGTGCTTCACACATGCTAGGCAAGCGCTCTGAATCACAGCTCCAACCCCAAGACTTTTTTTTTTTGGTACTAGGGACTGAACTCCGAGATGCTTAATGAATCATTGAGCCACATCCATAGTACTTTTTATTTTATGAGACAGAGTTTTGCTAAGTTGCTTAAGGACTCTCTAAATTGCTGAGGCTGGCTTTGAGCTTGTGATTCTCCTACCTCAGTCTCCCTAGGCACTGGGATTACAGGCAGATGCCACCTCATCTGGCTTGAAAAGATTTCTTATTATAGTCTCCCAACAAATAAACCCTGTTTATTTTTATTTTTCTTTATTTTTGTGGAGGTGGGGGATTGGGGATTGAACTCAGGGGCTCGTGGCCACTGAGTCACATACGCAGCTCTATTTTGTGTTTTATTTATTTATTTAAATATTTATTTTTTAATTGTAGTTGGACACAATACCTTTATTTTATTTATTTATTTTTATGTGGTGCTGAGGATCGAATCTAGGACCTTGCACATGCTAGGTGAGTGCTCTAGTGCTAAACCACAACCCCAGCTCCTTATTTATTCATTTTTAACATTTTTATTTATTTTTATGTGGTGCTGAGGATCGAATCTAGGACCTTGCACATGCTAGGTGAGTGCTCTAGTGCTAAACCACAACCCCAGCTCCTTATTTATTCATTTTTAACATTTTTATTTATTTTTATGTGGTGCTGAGGATCGAATCTAGGACCTTGCACATGCTAGGTGAGTGCTCTAGTGCTAAACCACAACCCCAGCTCCTTATTTATTCATTTTTAACATTTTTATTTATTTTTATGTGGTGCTGAGGATCGAACCCAGTGCCTCACATGAGTGAGGCAGGCATTCTACCACTGAGCCACAACCCCAGCCCCCTATTTTATATTTTATTTAGAGGCAGGGTCCCACTGAGTTGCTTAGCATCTCATGTGTGTGTGTGATCCTCTGGCCTCAGCCTCCCCAGCTGCTGGGATTATAGGCATGCACCACTGCACCCAGCAGTGTATATGTTTTTTTTAATACCACCCTTCCAGTTGATCATGACTTAATAATATGTTTACTCTTGGGATTATTATCATTATTAGGCTGAAATTGGTGTGAGATGACAGAGTCCTTATCTGTTTTGTACATTGTTACCCAAAACATAGTAGGCATTCAATGTTTGCAGAAGGGTAGCACAGATTAGGGGCTCAAATGGGCTGGATTTGGATCTAGTTTTGCCACTTACTTGATTTTGGGATGGGTCTACTTAAGCTGGTGTTCAGTTTCCTCATCTGTAAAATGGAATAAATCTCTTCTATCGCATAAAGTTCTCATGAAGATTCAGCCAGTTGATATGTACTAGTGTGCTTAAAGTAATTCGTTATTATTATTGTTCCTTCAGCAAAAGCTGATTTAAAACCTGTTACATCTAAGTACCATGCCAGGCAACAGATAAGCATGAACAAGGTGAACTGGGTCCCTGAGCTCACCGTGGGAAACATGGCAAGGAGGGAAGCAAAACAGTGCTATGAGGGTGACTGGGATGGAGACTTTAGCTGGACTGAGTGGGATGGAAGTGTCAGGAAGAAAACATTTACACTGAGAACTGAAGGATGAGAAGGAACCAAAAAGGTCTGCTAGGCTAGCACTTCTGACACAGGAAACAGAAAATGCAGAGGTTCCGAGGCAGGAATGAGCTTGTCTGTTTGAGAAATCACAGAGTGGCTAGAATGGAGGGAGCAAGCAGGAAGGGAACACAGCTCCCAGAGGGAAGTTCTAGTGCCTCTAATAAATGAAGACTGGGAAAGGGATGAGGCCATGGTGAAGAATTTGGATTTTAGTACATATTAGGTAGTAAGCCACAGGTGGGCTAGTCAATAGAGAGACATATCTGTTTTGATGTGATTAAAAGAGAAAGAGAGAGAGAGAGAGAGAGAGAGAGAGAGAGAGAGAGAGAGAGAG